GATTGTTGACATAAGGCCACCTTGCCTCAGTCCCTTCTAGATTTGGAAATAATGACCGATGTCATCGTTGACCTTAATCCCAACACTCCCACCTTGAACTTAAGAAGCTACTTGTTTCCTCCATTCAGCCGCAAAACCTTTCATGCGGAGGGCTTGTTGAATAAAAGACCACTTCACCTTTCGTAGGCCTTTTTTTGAGAATCACCGGGGGGAGCTCCCCCACCTGAATATATTGCTCAAAGGACTGTCGTGGCAGTGAGTACAGAATTACATAGGCACGGTGCAACGTGCAGAGAGGTAGGAGCTCCACGAGAAGACGTCCTCCTTGTCTTGTGAATGCACAAGACGATGAGACCAGAGGTCCAGAGCAGAGAGAAGGTTCCTCAGGGTTATTACAGAGCTTTGATCTACTAGTCGAAAGACCATGTCATTACGTGCTTCCCAAATCATCCATAGTAAGGCCAAGAGGACCGAGGGCCATGTCGTGGTCGGGAGGTGAGGAGGAGTAATGACGTCCCATAAATCAGTGATTTCGCCAGATGGTGGCAGGAGCCCAAGCCGTTGCCAAATTCTGTTGGCAAGAGGACACGTGATGAAGAGGTGGTTGGAGTCTTCGGCTACGTAGCACACCGAGGGCATATATCTGAATCGATTATATGCTTGCGTGCAAGGTTGGCTCTAGTGTTGAGCCGGTCTTTGAAGAGTAGCCAGGCGAATACTTTGAGCTTCCGAGGAACCTTGGCACTCCATATGAAGGGAGCCATGAGATCGTTATCTAGCCGAGCCATGAGTGCACCGTATGCATTCTTGGTGGATAAGGCAATACCATGTCGTAGGAGCCGTTGGTCTTCCCCCGTCGATGGCATGACATCCTGCAAAATAGCCACAAGCGACACAAGCTCTTGTTCTGCCGTGAGGGAGAGGCGATTACAGAGGTTAGCTTGAATACCGAAGCGCAAAATGTTAGCCACTTTAACCAGCTCTAGGGTGGAGTGTGAAAAAAGGTCGGGGAAGGTGATGGCAAGGGGTTGAGAGACCAGCCACGTGTCTAGCCAAAAGTATGTATGTGAACCACTATTTGTGAGCACGAAGGATATATTTTGTAGAGTAGGGATTTGCTGTGAAATTGTGCGGCATAGAAAAGAGCTTTGCGGGGAAGAGGAGACTAGGGCGTTCGGGTGTTGAAGATCAAGCCACTCAAGCCATGGTGTTTGTGCAGTGGAGAGTGCTTTGGCTGCAAATTTCATAAGGAGACAGTTGTTTTGAACATGTAAGTTTTTGAGTCCTAGACCACCGAATTGTTTTGGTAAACAAACATTTTCCAAGCAATAAGACATTGAGCACCTGAACAAGCATCTTCTCCTAACCAAAAAAAACCCTTCTGAGAGAGTCCAATATTTTGATAGTTTTCTTTGGGATGCGAAAAATAGACATGAAATAGGTGAGGATTGAGTCCAGAACCGTAGAAATGAGTATGAGTCGATCACCTTTATCGAGAAGCTTGGCTCGCCAGCCGGTAAGTAGTTTCCTAGTTCGTTCTACCAGAGGGTTAAAAACATTGGTGAGAGGCTTGGTCGGGGCGAGAGGAAGACC